TTTGGGTATGTATCCAGACACCAAGGATTCGTTAATTAGAGTTGAGACGGGTTTAGCAATTGCCGGCGCACTGAGCTTCAACAGCATTGCTGGGATTTGATCAGGTCCGGACTGGTTTTTCATTTTTAGATTATTAAGATGTTTTTTAATAACACTAACCGGTACAGGTCTAAAAATAAACTTGTCTATATTGGGCCTTTGCAAATTTAGTGTGACCTGATCCACATTTGTAGTTTCAGGATGCGTGTCATTTATTAACTTGGTAATCAGGGCAGTAGAGCATCCGCCAAAATAATTGTTAAAGGCATTTGCTACATCTAAGGGAAGTTGCTGGGTTTGGTTACCCACTTTGACAGTGGAGGGTTGGGAGTGGTTCGGGGGAGTTTGTAGTTTATTTATGACTTTCCAAAAGTTTCTAGGGTTTGAGATGTTACTGTTCAGATTTTCATAGAAATATTGGGCCTTGGCCAGTTTTGTCTGTTTTGTGCATATATTTCGCCATTGTCTATATGCACAGTGATCATTCATAGAGCCAGTACGCTTAAACTTTGACCACAAAGAATCCCGAAACTGGTACATTTGGATGAGGTCAGCTGTGATCCAATTCATATGTGCTCCTTTTACCCTCACCTTATGCAGCGGAGCATGCAAATTCCAAATTTGTAGGAGTTCAGACTGAAAGTATTCAACACAAATATTCTATATGTACAAGCACTCTTTTATCCGTATTGGTGCAACGTATCGAAGTGGCCAAAACACCTCAAACTATACAAAATACAAAAAATGATACTGCACTCACAAATCAGATAAATTTCATTGCTAAATTTAATAAATCATTGGTAAATTCATTGTCTTGCGTGAATATAGTTCATTAGAAAAGTTATGTATTGAAGTCCAACAAATTGATAATATATACACAAATGAATTGATAAGTCTGGAGAGTTGATAATATATACACAATGAATTGATAATATATACAAGCAGATTAATAGAAAAATTGCTGCTCCTGTTGAAACTTCATGTTAATTAAAGGAGTCCCTGACTCAATAGCTGTATTGGTTATTCCAAAAAGGTTTATGTATCGTCCAAAAAATCCGATAAATGGGAACAAAAGAAGATGATGAAATAATAAAAATTGTCCAAAGCTCCTCTTTTTTAGAAAAAGAAAAAAAGTAGAAAAAGAAAAAGAAAAAGAAAAAAGAAAAAAATGAAAAAAGGTAAATGTCAACAGTCCCAGTGTGTACACACTATAATATAAGGGTGGATCTCACCGGTAGAGGGATGAATGCTGTTGTCCAGTGATTATCAGTGTGGGGGTTAATCCTCAGTCCTTGTGGAGCCTCTTAATCTCCTTCTTATGCGGATGGTATGTATTGTTCCTCGCTTAGCTAAAGTATCGGTGGGTGTCAGGATACATATCTTTCAGTAGATGTAGGATCTCCTATGCGTACTAGCTGGTGCAGGGTCTCCAGAATGGGCTGCGCCCTCTGGGCCATCGAAGGGATTCAGCAATATCCCGAGCGCGCAGCCCATTCTGGAGACCCTGCACCAGCTAGTACGCATAGGAGATCCTACATCTAAAGACCTTGCATAGGTGCGGAATTAGCAGGTCTTGGAAGGTTTTATAGTAAAAGGCTGTGATGCCATCCGGGCCAGGGCTTTTCATAAGTTTCAGTGTTTTGAGTACCAGTGCGATCTCTGCTGCTTCTATGGGGGAGGCTTGCTGGTCCTTGGCCTTGGTGGGGATGGTAGGTTAAGGGGTGCGAGAAAGGCATGCTTCGGTTCTTGGATGTGTGGTGTAAATGAGTGGTTATATAAGTTGGTGTAGTACTGTAGGAAGGTGCTTGATATTTTGTCTGGTTGGTTCGTGAGCTCTCCTTCCTGAGTGAGGATTTTGGAGATTTGCTTTTTTTCCCCCCCTTTTTTTAGGCAGTGTGCGAGGAGCGCGTAGGCCTTGTTGCTCTTTTCATAAGACATCTATTTAGTCCACATGACATTTTGTGCTACATCCGTCTACGCTAGAGACTTTATTTGATCTTGTGTGGCTGTCAGTTGGTTCAGGATTGGTTCGGTCGGTTGTTGTTTGTGGATCGTTTCAAGCCTCTTGTGTTCTGCTAGGGCATCCATTTTGTAAGCGTTGTCTTTTGAGTGCGGTGGCCATCGATATTTGGTGGCCTCTGATTGTCGCTTTGTGAGCGGCCCAAATGATTGCTCGTGAGACGTCATCTATGGTGTTTATTGCTAAGTAGTCTCGGATGTTGGTCGTCAAAGTGTAGATGATTGCTTTATCCCGGAGTATCATGGGGTTGAGGTGCCATGTCCAAGGGCGGACTAGGTTGGGTATTTGGATTGTCATTGTGACCTCCATGTGATCTGATCAGGCTATGTTGCCAATGCCCATTTGCACAGTCCAAGGTTGGATTGAGGGCGAGGTGAGAAATCCATCAATTCTAGAGTACGAATTGTGCGTGTGCGAATAGAAGGTGTAGTCTAGCGTGGAGGGGTGTTGGAGCTACCATACGTCAATTAAGGACATGGTGGCCAGAAATTTGGCATAGAGTTTGTCTTTCCTGGCATTCTGCCAGTTGGGGTTTGTCGATCAATGGCAGGTGTATGGGTCGCGTTGAAGTGTCCTCCGATAATCTAAAACCTAGAAAGTGGCATCTGGGATGGTCGGGCCAACTTGGTTGTGCCCTCTTGTCCTGTGAGGAAGTGGAATCTACCCGCTGGATCTTTGATGACCTGGATGTCATCAAGTGGACATGAGTTGCACCGCAGAATCGCAACTCCTTTCATCTTGGGTTCCGGGTAGTTGGCCATGTAGCTTCTTTTGAAGTGTCTGTTGATGAGGGGGAAGTACTTCCGGTCAGTGAAGTGTGTCTCTTGGAGCATGATTATATCTGCGCCCATGCGGTTTGCCCAACGTAGAATGTTGTGGCGTTTGCCAGGGGTGTTGAGGCCTTTCACGTTAATGGAGGTGAACTGGAGTTTAAGGGCCGGTCGTGCCATTTCTAAGTTGCAGTCGGCACAGGCTGGTTTGTGTAGGGTAGGGTGAGTGGGGGGAGGGGAGGTAAAGGAAAGTCCAGAGGAGCAGCAGGGGGATAGCAGCAGAGTAGGTGAAGAGGTAAGAGGTAAACAGTTGACGAGAGAAGGGGAGAGATTGGGAGGGGAGGAGGGTTGGCAAAGGGACCTAAGGGGGGTCTGGTGCACTGAGCGGCACACACTAGAAACTGGTGAGGTTAGGACTGGGCTTATCGATCTGGCCAGTCAGTAATTGAGCAGGGGACTCGTAACCTCCTTAAAAGGTTGTTATGGCAAGTCCGGTGGTGGAGAAACTAAAAGTGAAAGGTGTGTGCAAGCTATGGCAGCACATGCCTAGGACTTGCTGTTAAGATGTCTCAGGTGTCTGAGCTTGGGGGGATACGTGAGGAGGAAGTGTGGAGTTAGGTGGGTTGGGGGAGGTGTCTTGGGTGGGTTGGTGGGGGTTGTGCGGTCCTTCGGGCTTGGGTGTCGTTCATCTAGTGTCTGTGGCTCTACTGTGCGGCTTAGTAGGTGTCAGTGGAGCCCAAGCACAGCTCACGCGGATGTACAACTTGCTCCAACGAAGTCTTATAGTTTAACAATCAACAGTACAATAACAACTTAAATATCAAACATTTTGTGCTATGATTCCCTGTGTTGGAGGGGTCCAGCCCCTGCTTCGTGACATGCCATAATTTAACTAGGGTCGTATAGGATGTTCATTTGCACCCTCTTGTGGTTCTGCAGTGGCAACTTGGGTGACTAGCATCCAGTATCTTGGTGTAAATTACCCCTGTCTATGTACATAATGGATATAATTAATTGCAGGCTGTCATGCTAGTCTAGCTGTTCAGGGTAAAACCACTGTCACTGTTACAGCAAATAACACAGAAGTGGATATATCAAGATCAAGAGAGGTTAAGACAGATTGATCTGTTTGCTTTATGTTAATAGGGTCTAATGATGAGTATGCGTGCTCGTTAAATTGTAACAGTGTCCGTATGAGATTCTTGCTGTTCCATGTTGACCATGTGAGCTTTTTTGTCCCTTTCGTTTTTGTGTCCCTTTTGTTTTTCCCCACCCCGTCTACCCAGCGGGCATCTCGGTCTTCACGATTGAGTGTCCATGGCTTGGTCTGAGAATGATCCCCTTGGGGTCCGGTCTGGCGGGGTCTGTCAGGATTTAAGTCAGGAAGTTGGATATTGGGCTGTCAGAGGGTCTGTGGAGGAGTAATCCTGGGGTCTGTAAGATTCCTGTCATAGTGAGGTGGCTGAGGCCGTCAGTCAGGGAGGGAAGGTTTTATGGTAGTCGGGCAGCTCTTCTGCGACTGTTGGGGGCGGTCTATATGGAGCCAGGGTGACCTGGCCGTAGTGGGGTGACTGGTTTGTTATTTTTTAGTGAGTTTGGTAGCATTTACGATCTTAGTGGTGTAGCAATAACTATATGAAAATATCGTAACCTAACATCACATCAACCTCAGCCCTTGGATTATTAATATATGGATGCAAGGTGGCCCCTGTGTTACCCTTCAAGCCAGCCGGCTAACGTTCAATGGCAGCAATCAGTGGTACAGTCCTGAGGTGTCATTTGGCGGTGCAGTTCGTGAGCGTTGGTTTGAGTTACAGTTCGTAAGTTGTGATCCGTGGTACTGTGCATTGTAAGAGGTCTTGCTTCGGTGTCCCTTATTGCTGTTTAGGCTGTGGAGTGCAAAGGTTGCACTGGGAAGCGAGATGGCGGCCGGTAAGCGTCTCTTGCAGGCCGTCGTTGGCTTGATGCCTGTGGGTGCTGTGGTCCAGTGCGGTGCTGTGCCAGCAGTGGGAGTTGTGTAAGTCAAGTCTATTTAGCAGCATAGACACCTCTGTTGGTTGTGAGATGGGGAAGAATTTATTGTCATTGCGGACAATGAGCTTGAAGGGGTGACCCCAAGTGTATCTAAGGCCATGGTGGGTGAGGTGCTGTGTGAGTGGATGTAGGTCTTTTCACCTCTTTAGCATGTTAGGTGCCAGGTCCTGGTACAGCCGGATTTGCACGTCTTCCACCTCTACAGGATTGTCCCTGGTGGCTTGTATCAGTCTCTCCTTGATGTGGTAGTAGTGCATACGCACCATAACATCCCGTGGGGTGGTAGAGATGGCGCTGGGTGCCCTCAGGGAGCGGTGAGCGTGGTCCTTCAGGAGGAGTCCTCTGGCAGGAGGTTTTTGGAAAGCCAAGGTAAGTGAATCTGGGAGCAGCTCAGTGGACACTGTTTCCGGCAGTTCCCTTACCTGGATATTGTTCCGACGTGTCCGATTATTTAGGTGTTTATTGGATTCTTCAAGGATGGGTATCTGCTCTCTCAGTTCTTGTATGTCTGTGTCGTGGGTGCTCACAGTCTCCATCACCTCCTCCATCTTGTTTTCCGTGGCTTGGGCCTGAGCCGTGAGGTCCGCCATGCGAGCTAGAATAGGGCTTATCCACTTGTCCAGCTCCTCCGTGACTGATTTTTTTAAAGTTTGCCAGGAAGCCCTTCATATCTTTTCTGGTTAGGGGGTCTCTGTTCCGTCAGAGGCCACAACGCTGCTCATTTCTGAGTCTGACTCTGATTGGGATTGTTCCTAGGATGGTGCCAGGGCCTTCTCTGGCCTAGCGGGAAAAATTGGTGCCACCGATGAATTGCGGAATTTTCTTCCACACTCCCATTTGGTAAGTGGATACGTAAGGGTGTGACAGGTTATGGGTGTGAGTTTGGAGGGATTTGAGGGCTCAGGTGCTGTTGATGGCTATAGATTTGGCGAAGTCGTGGCAGAGCTCAAGGATTATGCCACCATTCACTTAGCAGTTCAATTTTGATGGGGTGAGTAAAGTGCTGAGGTCTCATGTCTAATACCTTGTATGTTTTGTAGTGACCTGAAACTAAAATCACTGGTAAGACCACATATTGAATATGCTGTGCAATTTTGGGCACCTGTTCTAAAGAAGGATATTATGGTCACTAGAAAAAGTGCAGAGGCAGGCTACAAAATTAATAAAAGGAATGGAACACATCAGCTTTGAAGAAAGGTTAACAAATTTAAACCTATTTAGTTTAGAGGGGATATGATAATATTATACAAATATATTCGGGGCCAATACAACCCATTGTGTGGAAATCTATTCACAAACCGGACTTTACATAGGACACGAGGTCATGCGTTTAGACTGGAAGAAAGAAGAGTTCGTCTAAGGCAAAGGAAAGATTTTATTTACTGTAAGAACAATAAGGATGTGGAATTCTCAGCCTGAAGAAGTGGTTTTATCAGAGTCCATACAGATGTTCAAACAGCTACTAAATGCATACTTGCAAAAACAGAATATTCAAGGATATAATCTTTCAATGTAGGGTAATAACTGCTTGATCCAAGGATAACTCTGACTGCCATTCTGGGGTCAAGAAGGAATTTTTTGTTGCAAAATTGTGCTTCAAACTGGGTTTTTTGCCTTCTTTTGGATCAACAGCAAAAAGCAAATGTGAGGAAGGCTGAACTTGATGGACGCAAGTCTCTTTTCAGCTATGTAACTATGTAACTATGTAAACTCTCAGCCATAAACACAATATTACTGTCATATCTTGAGTGTTTCATGTTTCCATATGGTGCTGTATCTACAATATGTTTTTCAGTAACTAACACTACATCATTTTTTCTTTTCCTGAAGGCTAAGAATACTGCACCTGAATAGTCATCAGTGAATGCCATGGAATACTTGAAAGTTGAAACCTTCCTAACTTGTGGTTCCATGGGACCTGCTAAGTCAGTATGCACCAGCTCAAGTGGTGCTGCGGCTCTGGCTCTACTTATACTTTGAACAAATTTTTATTCAATGCACATTTCACAGTTTAGAATTTACTTATCAACTTTACCCTTACTCTTCCTTCCTTTTTCAACAAATCATAATTACAGTGACCATAAATCTCATGCCAGGTTTGAATATCCTAAAATGTCAGTGTAGCGGAGAGCTGATTTCTCACAGCTAAACTCCACTAAGTACTGTAAGAGGATGCAGGTATAAGTAATAAATCCAAGAGAATATCCAGCACAATCAACATTACAATCCAATAATATCCCATCACTTTCCCCAATCACTGGACGACACACAGTATCAGGAGTAGAACTCAACTTTTAATCACACAACCTTCTTTTAAAGCATTCTCCCATGCAAGGGAGGGATTTACAGTAATTACACAATACACCAATCATACACGAGTTGCCACCCACACATCCCCTCCCCTTAGTATGACACATAATCCCATTATGTAAGACACAGTTCCCCTTGTTTTCTGGATGTACCCCTTAACCTAGGCGTAACCCTTTAAATATTACATCCCCTGGTAGCCCTGATCTGGGTGAGACACATATCCAAAAATCACCCAGATCAGATCAGGGGTTCAGGAGTTATAGGGGTTTAAAGCTTTGTGGAGGTCCCTTTAGGTCCACTGAAGCATGGCTTTCCAGCCCAAACCAGTTCCAACTAGTCTGGCAGTGTGCCTGGGACAACGCCCTGCTGGAGAACAATGGGACAGGAAACGGGGGAGGGGTACACCTTCCTATACACAATCTATACACAGTCTAATAGAAGTCTATACACTGTGCTTAAAGGGCCAGTAGCCGCATAATAAAAATCCATCATGCCCAAATACTGTCTTTAAAGGGCAATACCCCCAGGGCCATAGTCACATGGCAGGAGGCGGGCAAGCAAGCCCCTCCAAAAGCTCATGGCAAACTCTCTTAAAGGGGTGAGTTTGCTACAGTCAGCCTTGTTTATTTTCAAAAATGTATTAAGATAGTGAAGTATATTCTATTTTTGTATTATGAACGTGATACCATTGAGGTCAGTTCTGCCTTGTCTAAAGTTAACTGATGCCCCATTGCTTTTTACTGCCTCTACAGAGATACTATCTTGAGGGTACGAAGGTATATACAGTGCTTTCTTTAAGGTTGCAAGCACTCTATTTCCTTCACTGTCAAGTAGTCAAATGTCTGCATCACTTGTCTTCACTGGCACACCTGCTGCCTTTTTTACCATCTACAAGCTCCTTGAAGGGTTTCTCAGGTCTAAATATGTCATCAAGATCTTTGAATTTTTTGATGTTAGTAGTTATGTGGGATATTGCCTCTGTGTCAACCATTAGCCCTTCTGGTATTGGCATATGAAACCAAGAGGGCTGCACTCACCTGAACATACATTCATCATAAGGGTGCTGATGAGGCTAATTGTTGCAACATACAAAACTCCAGTGCACTCCCTTACTTTTGGTATAAGCCCACCAAGCTGGCCATCTCTTTTTTTGAGAACTCTCTGGCCACAATTGTACTAGGAAATTAGATCATCTTTTATTCGTTATCTAAGAGTCACATTGCTCCATTTTGACACTCTATCATCATTTGAGCTAGCACAGTACTTTTCAGTGTCTTCAAATGTTAATAGCACCTTCAACTCTACAAAAGGGACTTTTCCATCACTTTGTGTGATATGAACTGCAAATGTCTTAGATAATTTGTGCAAACCTTTTAGGATCATTGCAATTAGCAATCCGCAACTTAATGTTTCTCCCGCATTTATTAATGTTGTGATACTTGTCTCTCCTCTTATAACATAGCCCATCACATTCTTATCAGAGGAGAGACAGCCATTATAACATGTTAATTCAGTATATACACCGACTATCCTGGGCTTTCTCTTGCCTGCATAGTAATCTCTTAATATTTGAAGCACTTTTCCTCTATTATCAGTTACCTCCCTCATTCTTAAAGGGACATTATAGTCACCAGAGCAATTACAGCTTATTGTATTTGTTCTAGTGAGTATAATCATTCCCTTCAGGCTTTTTGCAGTAAACGGTTTTTCATAGAAAAAGCAGTGTTTACATTACAGCCTAGGGATACCTCTACTGGCAACTCCTCAGATGGCTACTAGAGGTGCTTACTGGGGCAGTGCTGCACAGTAGCAGCACTGTCATTCAGTGTCTCCACTCTCTGCATGGAGACACTGAACTTTCCTTATAGAGATGCATTGATTCAATGGATTTCTATGAGGGGATGCTGATTGATCAGGGTTGTGTTTGGCTTGTGCTGGCTCTGCTCCTGATCTGCATCTTTCACATTCTCAGCCAATCCAATGATTTCCTATGGGAAATCATTGTGATTAGTTTAGAACACCACGTCTGATTATATCAGCCAAGCAGGCAGATCAGCGGAAGAGCCAGCAGCAACAGACTGGAATCAAGTTAAGATTTTACTATATCTAGTGGGGTAAAGGGAGCGCAGGGTTGCTAGATTGTGGTTTTAACACTATAGGGTCAGGAATATATGTATGTGTTCCTGACCTTATAGTGTTCCTTTAAAGATGGACTCCTATCGTGTAAAAATTTAATTAGCTCAGCATAAGTTTTCTCATGCCTACATGTCTTCAACCAAGTACTGCCCAGCTCCTTAAGGTTCAGCAACCACATGTTTCCTAAGATATTTGTTTCCCACAACTCGTAGTTCCTTTCATCTTTGTCTAAATACAGCTTGCTCTATCTATTTCCAGAATTCCTTCTGGGCCAAGAACATGTTGCTATCTGCAAGCTGGGAGTAGGATATCTGGGCTAGTGCACACAATAACGAAGGAATATACCACACATGACTTTACAATCCACAGGGAAGAAGCGGGACAACAACGTTATTGTACTACAGACAAAGGAACACATTGAGGGTACCTTAGGATTACATCCCCAACATACAATGATACACTAACTGCAGAGAGAATTAAAGGGACAATCCAGTCAGAATAGGGCTATAGGTACAAGTAGGATATGGCGGTTTCAAAACAAACATTTTTAAAATGTATCAATAGTGACATTGTAACACTATTATCTGTCATAAATCTCTGGAAAACACTCCACATGTATATATTTTTTTTAAAGTAGACAACCCAGGGTATTCATCTAAGGATATTTTGACACTTTCTATGCAGCCATTTTACCACAAGTCTTTGCCAAACTTTGCATAGGTAGTTTTGTTTTTTTTCACATACATTGCAATTCAGGTATAAACTTACAGATCCTGTTATGTCTTGCTGCCAAAAAACACACTAATATATGTTCAGCAATATCTCCCGAGTACAGTGATACCACCCATGCATAGGCTTGTCGGATTGTTTGGGGGCTAAAAGGCCACATTTGGCAGGTGCGCATATCCATTTTTCAACTTGGAATTTTGACATGTAGTAAACCAGCGCCCCTGTCCTATTTGGGCCAATGTATTTTACCCCCATCAAACCATATATTTTTGAAAAGTAGACAACTCAGGGTATTTTAAATGGTGGTAGTTTAATACTTTTCATGCAATAATTCTACCACCAGCCTTTGGCAAACTTTTGGGTAGTAATTTTCTTCGTGTTTTTTTACACATACATTGTACTTTAGGCATGAATT